GAAACTATCAGAGCCAGTGTTGTGGCACAGCAGGTTAAGGTTCCACCTGCAGTGCCAACAACCCGTATAGGTGTTGGTTCATGTCCCAGCTGCTCCACTTCCAATCCAGCTCCCTGCTAATGTACCTAAGACAGCAGCGGAGAATGGCCCAAGACCTGGGCCTCTGCCACTCATGTGAGAGATCTAAAAGAAGCTCTTGGCTACTGGCTTCAGTCTGGCCCACCCCAGATGTTGCAGCCATTTGGGGAGTAAACCAGCAGATGGATCCCTCTCTCTCTCTCTCTCTCTCCCTCTCCCCCTCCCTCTCACCTCTCTAACTCTGCCTTTCAAATAAATAAATAAATAAATGTTTTAAAAAAAATCAAGTCAGATATTCAGAGAGTAAGAACCTAATTATTAGAACTCAGGCACAAAGTGGATCATCAATTTCAGGAACACATAAAACCTCAATTTTGTGAATTGGGGCAAAAAGTCAAGTCCAAAGAATAACAATGGCCAAAGTCTTTCAGTGATGGGCTGGAGTTCTTCAAAAGGAAGAAAGTGAACTGGTTAATCCTCAGGTGTTAATCAGTAGTAATCAGTCATAAACATGTATATGAATGTTAAAGTCAGGCTCATAGTAGGTTCGTAATGCTATTTCTTACGCTCTCTCCCTCTGTCTCTCTCTCCAAAGCCCAGCAAGTATGTGGCAGCCCTTGAAAGCCCAAAGCACACAGAGAAGTGGTCTGTGCCCCAGGTGTTAGAAGACTAATGAACTCAGTCAATCACACACCCCAAGGCACTTAGATGTGCTCAGACTGTCAGAGACACAATAGGAAAACTTTACATAGGTGCTCTTTGCTTTCCTCTTCCACAGGATCTATATTCTAAAGATCTTATTCACCCAAATACTGATTTACCTTAGAGACCCTGATCAATAGGAAACCTACAACAAATGACTACTTTATTCCTTCATGAATTGCATTACACAGAAGATCACAACTGGAATGATCAAACCAGGAGATTTGAGGTTGGTCGCACTCAATCACTGAAAATGTTAATGGGTAGCATTGATGGCTTTAGATGTTTACAAACAAGAGGGTCCTATACCTTAAACATCAACCACAGGGCATTACTTTATCAGTGGTGGTGATGTAAGAGGCTGGACATCAGTTCATGAAGAACGAACACTTTGAAAAGAGCAAGAAGCCCCTCTCTGATTGTGTCATGGCTTCAATACAGAATGCTTCAGCGCAAAAACAACTGATGAGAAGATCACATCCCAGTGCTGGCATTGTGTCTGTGCACTTCCCAACAATGCTATAGGATTCAGCATCTTCTCCTGAGAGCGGCAAAGTGCTTGGTGCTACACCAGGGAATAGACCCACATGGTGCCCAGCTCCCTTTAAAATAAGCCAGCACAACCTGTCACATTTGAATGTTGTTTGGGCTTCAAATTGGAAATTACATACATTCCTTAAAAACCTTATTCTTTGGACAGCTACATACAGGTACTCATAAGAACACTCAATACTGTTCTTCTATCTACCTCTTATTTTGAGTTGGTGTTTCCAGAGAAACACTGTACTTCTTAATATCAAGCATACTAATGGGTCAATATCTGTCTTATCCATTCCTGAGATATACTGGGCTTATCCATGAAGAGTATGCCTGGCAACTCAAGTGTGAAGCCACAAGCTACACAGCTAATTGATCCTAAGCAGTGATCAGGTCTCACCCTGGACAAATTACTATGGCCACAAGTCAAGCCAGCTGCAATCAAGGATGGAATCAATATTGAACCTTATTCACATTTCATCAGTCTTCCTTCTGTGTTAGCTCTCTAGGTCCATAATTCACATGTGTAGCATTGCCATCCACGTTCTCATTAGAGGGATAAAGTGTTATTGTTATTATTTAAGATTAACTGAAGTTTCATTTTTAATTAATACTAGATGATTTTTTAAAAATGTCTTTCCTAGAAATGTCACTAGTAAAATGCATCCAATTTCTCTCTAATGTAGTGCTTTCCCTGTCCATAAAACTTATTTGATTAGCAGTACTATAGAAGCTAAAGCTTTTGTATGCAGGCACTCAAGCATAATTTAATCATTTTATTTAAGCATGAAAAAAATTATTCTGAAAGCCCTGTTAGGTAAAATATCCCTGATTAGTTTAAACGTACATTTGCAGGTATGTTAAAGGTGAAATAAATCACAGAATGCTCAGTATGCAATGGAATAGTGTTAACTTTGTTACAATAGTCAGCAGTAAGTTAAAAATTGTAGTATTAGAGAATGTAAGGAATAACTATCTCATTTTAAATGAATATATTTCAAAAGGTTATTTTAAAATAAATTTTGTTTTGTACAAACCCTTTTTACATTACCAGAATTTTCACCTATGGAAACCTCTTTTATACTCCAACAAGATGAGGTCCTAATTGCATAATACCATTTATCTGCTGAGGATAAAAGTGCCAACAAATGAAAATGCACATTAGGCAAGAGATTGTCAGAATAGAAAATTGGTTTTTTTATTTTTTTATTTTTTTTGTTTTTTTGTTTTTAAATAACCCACTCACATTAACAAAAGACTGCAGTAGCTTCCAAATTATAGGTTGTTATTTTTAGTGGAAGTAGTTCAATATTCATATTGGAGCAGATGTAGCAGTTTAACAAAACAGCTCTTCAAATCCTGCACAAATTGAAAACAGGAAAACTGATTGCATTTTCTCTTATCACTTTCCTTTTCTGAATTGACACTTTTGGCCTTCTGAAAATTTACACATGGCTTTCATCTCAACAGCACCTGCTGATCAAATAGAAACCTAACATTTTCATGAAAATGGTATAAAGGACTAGTTTTGTTCTAAACACTGCCAAGGGCATCAGTTGCCTACTTGATGGCAACAATTGCTGTGTATAAGTCATATTCATAATAGCTTTATATTTTCATTAAACTTTTAAAGAAATATGTTAAGTCTCTCCTGGCTTTTTTCCATATCCACTTTTTATATGGTTCAAATATCTTTCACTCAGTGTCTAATACTTAGCTTTATTATGCAAAGACTATGCAAAATATGTGAAAGGTAGAGCACACTAAGAATGCGGAATACTTACTATTTTCTGCACTTCTACTTGAACAATATATATGTATATTATGTATAATACATATTATATATACATATTACTGTCTATGTATGCACATGAGTGTAAAATATTTACATTTAATATTCTACCCACCAAAAGCAAACTGGAAACCAAAAAGTCATTGTCAGGCTCTATTTTTGAAGGGAACTTACACATTCTTTTATCACAAATAGATCTGGCAGGTGCTTGGCAGGTTGAGTGCTCCAGACTGGAGAAGAACGGACATTATTCAAGCACAAGCTGGTCAACTAAACAAAGTGACTGACTACTCACTGTAAAGACTTCCAGGGAAGCTAAAGGTAAATCTTAAAAATGAGTATTCTTATATGCAAAATATGCAAGCTTGCTAACAAGGTTGCTTTCCAGATTTTTAAATAGAGGCACTCCACATAGTTCCCTGTAACATCCAATTCTGGTTAAAATTAATGATGCTCCTAAGACATGCTATCTGTCAGTTTCTTAGCCAAAAAATACTCTAGCCCTTCTGAAGGATTCCAGGCTGTCCTTTCCCATTCTGCCTGGGTGATAAGGGAACCTGAAGGCAGAAATGACATACAGTAATATATGTGCCACTCTGACCAGTTGGTCTGTGAATTTCAGTGTTTCATCATGCTCACTGAGGCAACAGCAAACCTGAAATGTCAATATGCTCAGTCAATGGAAGTAAAATAATGGGACTCTATTGTCTTACCCAATCGATCTGCCGCTGTCAACAAGGAAACATGCCCCTCTGGCTTTAAACAAATTTTAATTAGGCTTTTAGTTACCAGATCATATCTATCTACCTATGGAAACACCTATCTTAACAATACATAGAAGGCAACACATTCATTTTGTCTACCTTTATTCTAAGAACCTTCTAAAGTTGCTATCATTTTTTTGAAATACATTTATGAGTCAATAAAATATCTTAAAAAAAAAAAAAAACTGACTCGAAGCAAAAAAAATTTTTTTTTCATGGTTCAAAACCAAAATACAAATCTGCCTAACAGACTTCAAGCGATGTCAGCCCCCCCCCCCGTAACCCAAGTTGAACCACACTATAAAATCACTAATTCCACACTAAAAGTCAGCTTGCTTTGCTTCCTGTACTCATCCTACCACCCTTAGCATGAATCCCTCACCCATTCAAAACGAGTCACACAACACCAGATGTTAGAGAGCAATCCCAAAGCCTCCCCTCTCTGGGCTCACTCAGTTTATCAACCCTGAAGGTAAAGGGTGAAGGCACCTCCTGTCAGAATAAGGTAGGTGCTCCAGGCTGGAAAGGGCAAAGGGTGAGGGGGAAGAGGAATTAAGACCATTCAAGTGTCATTCAAATCGCACCCAAGTTCTCCAGCCCTTCCTTCCACCAGGAGGGAGACGGTGTCGCCTTAAAATAAAAATTAAAATGCACTAATCAAGTTGTTCAACGGCTCCTTCTCGCCCTTCTTCATCTAAAGGCTTGAGCGTCCAGTCAATAAATAATCTATTGTTCCCCCTTTATCGAGTCTCTTTAAACCTATTCAGACTGGCAAAACTAAACCCAATTAAAGATAAGGCCCTCCGGTAATCTCACCTCGGTGAGTCCTGTCTGGATAGCAGAGGTGATGGGAGATAGCGTCAAGGCCAGGGCCGATGCCTCCTCCTCACCCCACACAACAAAAGGCAGATTTCTCTTTCTCCCTCTGCTAATCTTTAAATGTAAATTCTCTCCGCCAGCTAAGAGGAGCGACAGATAACATGTTACATCTTCACTTCTCCTGGTCTTATCGACTTCTGAATCATTGGGAAAGGGAGAGAGGGAGCGAGCAGAGCCGCCTCCCCGCGCCCCCCTTCCCCCGGCCACCCCTCCTCCTGCGCTCGCCTCCCCCCGTTCACGGAGATTACCTTCTGGCAAAGGAGCGCGGGAGAGGCGGCCGCGGCCGAGGCGGCACCCAGACCGCGGCTTTGTATTCATTAAACACACATCGGAGCTTATCAGAAGTAAAAGGCTTGTCAGGATGGCACATTGTGTGTGAGTGAGTGTGTGAGCGCAGGAGGCAGAGGAGAGAAGCCAACGTGCATCGGGGTGATTACAATATCAGCAGGGCCCAGATGGAGGCAGGAAAATAAACAGAGGGTGCGTGTGAGACAGAGCGGGAGAGGGAGGAAAAGTGTGGGGGGAGAGAGAGAGAGAGAGGGAGAGACGGGGAGAGAGAGAGGAGGGAAGAAACCAAAAGGGATGGAGGGGGCGGGGGCTCAGGCCCCAGGATGGGGCTGGAAAATAGGGGAGAGCTAGGGTTGAGGCAGGGTGGGGGAGCCCGCTGCACAGGGGCCGCCAGCATGCCCAAATCTGCCCCTAGGTCAAGAAAAAGGGGGCATTTTAGACCGTGTTTCCCTGCTCCAGGGCTGAGCTGCCCAGTTCAGATCCTCTGTCAAGGTCAGGGGGACACAGAGTTCTCAGGGCTGGGGGTTACAATGAGATGTCCACTGTCTCACCTCCCTCCAAATAGCCACAATTTGCAAAACAAACCCTAGTGAGTCAGCACAGAGCCCCCGCCTTCCACAGACACACCCCCCCCACACCGCCCCCAGCCCAGCCTTAAGTGGCCAGTTCTTGCTTCTTGCTTTTTCAGACCCCAATACTGCTAAAATCTCAGCCCCCCACACCCACCCCACACATACAGAGAGGGATCCAGGCAGAAAGAAAACGTCTGCTTTCCCTGGGCTTTCATGAGCCTCAGCTGAAGACGGCAGCCAGCATCACTGTGCTAAGAAGGACCACTTGTGATTGGTAGCTACAGGTGACTCTTAGACACCTGCTCCACCTCCAGAAATTGGGTTGGGGGAGGGGGCTCCTTATGTGTACATCTGAGAGTCTATTTTGGAGGTGGGAATTTGAAATTGAGGCAATCAATCTCAGCTTGAGCTGCCTCGCAGCCCTTCACCCACCCAGGGCCCGAGAATCAATCAGAGAACAAGCAGGGGCTAATGCTGGTCCGTCAGACCAGAGTTCAGCCTCCTCCCCAGCGGGGTCAGCAGGGAGATACACCTGAGTAGTCCCTTGGGCGCCCCTTTTCACTTTTAAATGCACCCATCAGGCCATCTGAGCATCTGATCAGATCCTTAATGGAGTGCAGATAATGCACACAGAAGGTTGTTTCATTGGGGGGAGCCCAATGCCTGGTTGTGTTGTTGTTTTGAGGCACTGAAGCTTGGTTAAGAAGCTCACTGCAGCAAGAGGAGCGAGTTCAGAATGAAGGCGCCTGGACACCAAACAACTTGTCATGGCACACACTGTGACCCCCCCAGCTGCAGTGAAATGGGGGGGGTATGAAATAGCATATGCATGGGGTTGCAAGAGAAAGGGACAAAGTGGGAGGAGGGAGAGGATAAGACCAGAGAGGAGCAAGAGAGCTAGTAGCCACCTTACAGGGGACACACTTTTTTAGAGGACTTTTAGAAAACAAGGAAAGGCGTTGTTTCATCATGCACTGTGCTCCCAAATCGCTTAGTCCAAAGTGGCTTTATGGGTTGCGGGCCCCTCTCCCTCCAGCCTCCCTCTCCCAGGAAAGAATGAAGGGAAATTTGATAGGTAACACAAAGTGAAGAAAGCTGGGCGTCGTGGGGGAAGGGCATGTGTGAAAATCTTGTCATGCAATGAATGTCAGATAAAAAGGGGTCTGCCACAATCCTCCAGTAATCCAATAATGTGGAAAACCTCGTGGTATCACTGAGCCGAGAACAAGGTAATATTTCTCCATAAATCTTCAAAAAGTGACCGGGTTCAATAGTCAGAGAAGGGTGCGAAGGAAGGAAGTAAACCACTTGACAGGCTACCTTACAAAATCGAGTGAGCTCCAAATGGGTGAAAATCTGCCATTCCTACATGTTTTAAATTTAATAACAGACTGCCGGGGTATCATTTTAGTTCTCGTAAAAGGCCACCTTTCACCTTTTCTCTGGTTGCTACAGAAAACTGCATTCGGAGTAATCAGAAACAACTCCACACGCCCTCCCCTTTATCACATTTTAGTTAGAACAGATTGGGCACAGACCACCTACACACACCCAAAAATCCAAGGAAACTCTAGGAAGAAAAAAACACAATTTACAAATGCCCACTGATTTTTCCATTACATGCTACTTTAAGAAATGCCATTTTTTAAACAAACAAAAAAATGCATTACTACTACCTTTAAGACAAAAAAAAAGCCAAAAAAAAGGCTTATATTTTTCTTTAAAAGGCATCCCAAACACTAAAGGCTTGAAGAATACTGGGCAAAAGCTAATCTGCCAATGTTCTTATTTTGTAAAGTCACAGTATTCCTTTTACTACCTTGTTTGTTCATTGACTTTTGGCTCACAGTTATAGAAAAGATCAACCAATTCTCAAATGGGAAGAATCCACGAAATCTCTTCCAAAGCAAACACTTTGTTGCAAAGCTTTCACTTTAAAAGAAATAAAGAAATACAGCAATCAAGAAGTACAATCACAGAATAAGTGTACAACACAAAGTAGTTTTTATAATCACAGCTATCTTAAAGTCCAGGCTAGAAACTAGAAATCTTAATTTCACCCAGTTCTTTTCTTAATAATAGGTTACCTTCCTATAAAAGCAAGAAGTCCATCTGCCCCAGGCAGATAAGTTTTGAAGCATTAATTCAGATAAAAATCTAGCATTTTCTTTCTCTCTTTGAGTATGTGAATTCTAGTGTGCTATAATGTGAGAATTCCAACATATGACCATTATGGCATAATATCTCATTGCTCAGCTTGTCATTATTTCATTTGTAATTCTTATGTTAATTATGTTCATAATTACTATAAACAGATGTGGTAGACATTCATGTGACCTTTTATTGCAGAATGCATTCCTCTCTCATTTTGCTTTAATTTCTCATGTATATGAAGCAGAAATGTGGGAAAAAGAAAAAAGCTTTCTAATTTTCTAGTGTTTTCTATGCATACGTTATAACAGAACCTACCTTCTACTTCATCTGCATTTCAGAATATCAAAATATTCTTCACATTTAAGCTGCTTTACAGCACATTTCTAAATTGCACACTGAACCTCACTGCTGCTCACTAAATTGTAGCTATGGATGCCAAACAAAGCCTAGCACCCATGTCTAAGCTGTTTGTCTTTTTTTCCCTTAATATCAAAGGTTAATGCAGCAGAATTGTGCTTCAAAACCAAGTACCTATCAGCTACATGGGGATTTATTCACTCATAACTCAACCATCACCCTCTTTACATAAAACACATTTACAATAAAATCAGTATGGATTTCATTAGCTGAAAACCTCCTCAAATTTCATTTCTTTGGCCCTAATCTATAATTAGTGTGGACAGACAGGTGCAAACCCTTCTCTTCTACAGATGGCTACTGGAAATGGTGCAAGTGGCTCCTTCTGTTTAAACAACACAGAGATAACCTGCTCTGTCTTATCACTTACAATTACCTCCATTAAACTGAACTAATGTTTGCTTTAATAAAATGTTCACTGTTCTTTAAACATTATTTAGGAACTCTTATATTAATGGCTGTAAAAAAGTGAAGTTAGAAGGTGTCTCTTTAGATAATAATAAATAGCTTACTCTGGATAAAATGTCCCCAGTGATGGATAATACTCTAAGGTTCACAAAGGTGTTTTAGTTGATATAACAGTTTTGTAAGTTACTTTGCATACGTAGGGTCAAGTACGATTTTTTTAAAAAGGCATTGCAGTGACTAACATCATTTGGCAACTAAAGCTGGGGAACCCTTAGCATTTTCCCTGGAGCTCAGTAGTATGAAAGGTTTAATCTCATTCTTACAGATTTAAATTGTTACTGAAACATGTAACTCTTAAAATTCCAGATGGATTTCTAAAGGATATATAGGTTAACGTGAATATCTGTTTAATGTCTGACAAATTATTCTCAGTCGAATGAATTCCATCCTTTAAAGCATATTATCAAAATTAGCTATGAATGAAACTGCACTGTGCAAGCACATGGTTACAAACAACTTCATTCCATAATAAATAACTTCTATAAAACCAGAGCTCACTTCTCCCTGCTTCTGCTATCAATAAAGTCTGTGGATCACTATATGATGAATAAGGTGTCCATAAAACAAAGAACCTTTAAATGCTCAAACAGCAACAAACAAATAGCCTTTCCCACTGAACTTACATAACTTACAGTAACAGACTCCAGCAAAATGCAAGTGACTCGAGGTTTTTTTCACATGCAAATCCTGCAGGTGCCAATTTTTCAGACTGCTTTGCTATGAAGGGCCATGTTGCCTGCATAAAACCTCAATGAAGAAGGCTTTGCATTCAGTGGCTGTCAGCTGATGTTCATATCAAAGAAGTGAGAAACAGGATTTGACAGTGAAGAATGTCCTAAACTGACAACCACTGACCAGCATTCCTATTGGAAGCATTTCTTTCTCCTGAACCCCTTTTCAATGTTTAAAAAATGGGGGTGGGGGGTTGCAATGTTGGCTAACCTTCTATTTTACAATAAAATAAATTATAATGGCACCTTACATTTGTGTAGTTCTTGGCAATTTATGAAGTGCTCTTTTATCTGCAAATATTTAGACTAACACCTCGATGGGAGAGCTCATCATCAAATACTGACATCCAGGGTAATATTTTACTTCTCTCGGAAACAGAAAATTGTGAAAATATTAAAAGGCTGCAGTCCTGTAGCTGCAAGAATGCTGCCCTATTTCCAGCAACTTCTGACACTGCAGTTTGCATTGTGAACTGTAAAAGGACCTTTTAAAGATCATTTTTAACACCAAATTATAAGCAGGTATTACTGAGTGAAAAAGACTACGGCTATAAGGGAAAATATCATTTCAAAGACTTGTGACCTGCTCTGAGTTGTACAAACCATAAAGAAAAAAAGAAACCAATTTCTTCACTGCTTTTACTAGGTCTGAACTGGAACACTGGAGAAACTTCATACTAAAATTCTCTCACACAATATTTAGCTTTGCAAATGAAATGACTGCTGTCTACATGGTTTACAATAAAACTACTAATGTTTAAACAAAGATATTCAGCATAAAGTTCTCCTGTTAGTTTACCCTGAGGTAAATTCAGTTTTTATGCACTCAGAATGACCCTGATTTCTTAGTTATTTTATCGGAAGTTTGTAATCTGATTTATATGTGAAAAAAACCAGCCATTTATCAAATGCTAAATACAGCCTAAGAAATGATAAACTTCAGTTCCTCAACATTCATCCCAGCTGCATAAACAGCCTGGATCAAACTAAGATTCTCCGATTCATATTGGGTGAAATTTTCATATTGGGTGAAATTCTCAGACTCTAAAAAAGTAATACCGGAAATCGGTAAAAAGAAGCCCATCCACATGATCTGCTGGCCACTGCAATGTAAAAACTAGACTAGACTTCAAGCATAAACAAGAGGGAAATGGACAGAATTCTGAATTTGTTTCTGTTCATACTCATCACAACTGACATAACCACGGGCTATGATGGTTTAAGGCACAATGGTGTTT